CACACACACACACACACACACACACACACACACACACACACACACACAAGCACACACATGCACGCATGCACGTACACAGTTGAAGTTGGGGTTTGAGCACAGGTACAGATCTTGGAGTATTGAAGTACGAACAGTCAGATGAGTAAGTGACTGATGTAGACTTGGTCGTCCCTGGCCAAATCCAAGGATCTGTTTTCTTTCCACTTTATTGTACATTCTGCCTCAGAACCTTTTGCGTTCTCCTCTCTCTTCCCACACATCCTCTCTTTGAAAGGATTTGATGCAGTAGACAGTCCCGATTCTCGGTCCTGAAGTCCCAGTTGGGCCCACTCCCAGATGGTCCCAGCCCCACCAGGTCCCAGTAGGTCGAGTCCCGGGGTTGTAGGGTCTCGCAGGGTCCGTAGTTGGAAGTGTCGCAGTCCAGTCAGGTTGAGAACCAAAGCATCGCAGGTTGGTAGAAGTCTACCGGAACCCGACAAGGAAAGTCAGTCCCAAAGCCCAAATTTGCAGCAGCATCCGGCAGGCAATCACTCGTTAAACTTAAAAGTCATTATCATATTTAATGAACTAGTCATACTTGCAACCCCACGAGCCGCACATTCGTGCGGAGTTCCGTGCGGGGGGTGCCTGTGCGGAATCGTGCAGGTTTTTTATTTTTATTATTATTATTTTATCTTTTTTTGGGAGGGGGAACGGGGGGGCGTATGACAGGAAGATGGGGATATGGCGAGGAGAGGGGGATATGGAGAGGAGGAGGATGTGGACGAGGAGGACGACGAGGAGGAGGAGTCGAGATGGGGGAGGAGAAGAGATGGACGGAGGGAAAAGACGAAGGGCAGGAGGAGGACGAGACATTGACGGCGAGGAAGGGGAGGACACAAGGAAGGGGAGGACACGAGGAAGGGAAGGAGACGAGGAGGCATGGAAGATGAGGAAGCACGAGGAGGAGGAGGAGACAAGGAGGATGAGGAAGGGCAGGAGGAGGAGGACGAGCAGGAGGAGGAGGAGGAGGAGACGAAAAGGAGAAGGGAGGAAGAGACATGGAGGATGAGGAAGGGGAGGAGGAGCAAGGTGAGGCAGTACTCCTGTAAAAAAAATTTTCATCTCGCTTAAAATTTTGGCGGGGGGGCTCAAACGCACCGTTTCGACTCCGGCCTTTTTTTTCTGAGGGGGGTGACGGGTCGTTCCCCGCACACGTCGTGCGCCGCACGGGATCAGTTGGGCGCGTGCGCCGCACATAGGGAACCGCCCTCACGACGTGCGCTTGCAAGTATGGAACTAATATTATTCATAATAATTTCATATGATAAAAAGAGAGGAGAACAATGTTTTGCTACGCCACTGCCTCTATGAGCCCCATTCGGGCCCCTTTTTGGGAACCTGTCGGCCGCCCTAAGTGAAGGCAGGCTCGACGAGGCCCCTCAGGGCTTTATTTCGGCCTCTGCGCAACTAAGGAGTTGCGCAGCGCCAGTTGGTTGAGAGAACCCAGGCCCTGGGCCGCCTGTGTGAATGAATGGAAAGCAGGCCCTGGGCTGGATACGGGTACTGGACCAAACACATGCCAAAGGCAGTTGGGCGCATGCAACCACATCAGGACCCAGGCCTGTTCTCGATCGTGCTGGGCCTCAGGCTACCGGGGCCTACTGGAAGCTTCCTGGGACTGGACGCAGGCAGGCCACTTCGATATAGCAAAGGGCCTGTCTCCTCATTGGACATTCAGGCAGCCATAGCCGAGCTGTGCTGCTGTAAGCTGGGTGTGGCGCAGGGTGGTCCTTGGGTGCAAGTGGCATCTGCGTGTTGGGAACGAGGTTGTGAGTAAGGCAAGAGACATACCTGGTGCTGGAAGCGTGCGACATTGGTTGGTGTATGCTCGTACTTCGGGGGAGCTGTTGTCGTCAACTTCGGCATTGTAGCATTAGGCTAGATAGGATCTGCCATATGTAGTCTGGGCGCTGAGCGCCAATAGGATATCAACTCTGGTTCTTCGTTGATGATGGTGATGGGACTATTTCAGCATTGTCAATTATGAACCCTTGGTGTGTTCTTATTTGGTGAAACAATTCTGCTGTTGGTTCGAGGTCACGACTATCTGGACTCATATGTATGATGCTGTTTGATTGCTGAAGTTCGCTATTGCTCATCTTCCTTGCAATTTGGTATCGGAGCTGTGGTACGATTGCTCTCATCTGGCGCTTGTCTTCTGCCTTATGCGGTACATACATGCGGTCTGCTTGGCGAGTTTGGCCGTAAGTGGTGTAGCGAGGAGGGTGGAGACGAGTGATAGGCGACCCAGGAGGTGAGGGGTTCGCCAGGAAGGCCACGTGGGGTAATGTGGTCTGGACAGTGTGATGAGAACTATCTAATGTGCGATTGATGCTGAGGTGGAACGGCGTGCAATGCGGGGTGTGCTGATGCAGTGACTGGTCATCGCAATCGCCACCTGGTCATCTGGTGAGATTATCTCTGTGGTTGGGGGCAGCTATTTGAGGTACGTTGCTCTTAACCTTATCTACCCTCTTCGACACTCCTTACCATGAGGTTGTGTGTTCCTTCTTGAGAGTCCTCTCATTGTGAGGTGTCGAGTGCTCTCAACCTTGAGGGTCGGCAATGTTCACGTGGAGCATCTGGGAGAAGATGGGCGGAGCTTTCTGAAGGGCCCTGGACGAAGCACTGGGTCACGGTCACCATGCCAACCCTCCGGGAGTAGAGCACACATGCTTTGCTGCTTGTCCTTTGTCTGGCTTGCTGCGCTGTTAGATGGGTACTGAAGGGCAGGCCAGCTGTTGCATACTGTAACGGTGCAGACCAGAACAAGAACCGACCTCTCAATACAAAGTACAAGATGGCGTAGCGGAACACTTAGATACCAATGATCCGAACAATCAATATTGCAATGCAGCCCTGAACATACATCATCATCATCGTTCCATGGTGTGAAAGGGGTCTGGCGCTTCACACAGGAAGACTGCGCCAGCCCCAACCATACACAGACGAAGAAGGAGGGGGTTAGACGAGGAGGAGGGGAAGATGGGAATGTCGTCAACACCAAGTCTTCGGCACAGGCCCAAATAGTCCCTCGTCAAAATGTCTGAATCCCAAATGTCGAGTCTGGATCCAATGTCGTCAAGTCTCAAGTCACAACTCTTTCTCTCTCTGTCGTAGTCTGAGAAATCCCAAATGTCGAGTCTGGATCCAATGTCGTCAAGTCTCAAGTCACAACTCTTTCTCTCTCTGTCGTAGTCTGAGAAGTCAGGTGGTGAGAGGGTGAGAAGAGATGG